GAACAGACACTTTTCAAAAGAAGACATGCATGTGAACAAAGAGCATATGAAAAAATGTTTATCACAGCAAATCAAAGCCACAATGAGATTCCATCTCACACCAGTCATAATGGTTATTATTAAAAAGTGAAAAAAAAAAAAGATGTTGGCAAGGCTGTGGAGAAGAGGGAACACTTATACACTGCTAGTGAAAATGTAAATTAGTTCAGCCATTGTGGAAAGAGCAGTGTGGCAGTTCCTCAAAGAACTTAAAACAGAATTACTATTCAACCCAGCAAACACATTATTGGGTATGTACTCAAAAGAATATAAATTGTTCTACCATAAAGACACATGCGTGCATATGTTCACTGTAGCACAATTCACAATAGCAGAGACATGGAATCAACCTAAATGCCCATAATAGTAGCTGAATAAAGAAAATGTGGTACATATACACTATGAAATACTATGCAGTCATAAAAAAGAACAAGATCAAGTCCTCTGCAGCAACATGGATAGAGTTGGAGGCCATTATCTTGAGCAGGATAGAAAAGCAAATACCATATGTTCTCACTTATAAGTGGGAGGTAACAACAAGAACACATGGATCCTAGGAGAGGAGTAACAGACACTGGGGCTTACTTGAGAGTGGAGGGTGGGAGGAGGGAGAAAACCAGAAAAAATACCTATCAGGTACTATGCTTACTATCTGGATGACAAAATTATCTGTACACCAAACCCCCATGACACATGGTTTACTTACATGACAAACCTGCACATGGACCCCTGAATCCAAAATAAAAGTTAAAAATGACAATAATAGCCATTCTACTGGTGTAATATATCTCATTGTAGTTTTAATTTGCATTTCTCTGATGATTAGTGATGTTGAACATTATTTCATATGCTTGTTGACCATCTGTATGTCTTCTTTTACAAAATGCCAGTTCAGAAAAAGAAATAATAAAAATTAGAGCTGAAATCAATGAAATTAAAAATAGAAAATCAACAGAGAAACTAAGCAAAAGCTACTTCTTTGAAAAGATCAATAAAATTGATAAGCCTCCAGCCAGGATAAGAAAAAAAAAAAAGAGAGGACACAAATTACTAACATCAGAAATGAAGGAGGTGACATCATGCAGATCCCATTGACATTAAAATGATAATAAAGAAATATTATGAACAATTCTATGCCCACAAATTTGGTAACCTAGATGAAATGGACCAATTCCTTGAAAAATTTTGTATGCTAAGATTTAGACAAGCAGAAATAGACAATCTGGATAAGTTTATATGATTAAAAAAATTAAACCATTGGGAGGTTGAGGCGGGCAGATCACAAGGTCAGGAGATCGAGACCACCCTGGCTAACTATGGTGAAATCTCGTCTCTACTAAAAATACAAAAAATTAGCCAGGCGTGGTGGCAGGCGCCTGTAGTCCCAGCTACTCGGGAGGCTGAGGCAGGAGAATGGCATGAACCCGGGAGGCAGAGCTTGCAGTGAGCCGAGATC